CAAAACGTCTGGGACATTGGTTCAAAGGGATGATAGTGTGCCTTAGCCTACTTCACTAATTTTTAGGAATCGGAATTGTGCAAACATTGGTGGAAAGGTAACTAATGGTTGTTTTAGTTGTTCCACGGTTAAAACTTTCGGGTACGACTCCCCAAGGACCAACCAAGGGCCCTTGAGAAAGACTCCTGCAGTTTGATGCAGCACTGTCTGGCAGTGTGCACCGACGGGATAGACGATGGTTCGTGTGTGGATCGACGGGGCGTCGATCCACCGTTGCCCAATACTTAGGCTGGTGGAGAAGGTCCTTTCACCTGCACAGTTTCTGAAATCATCGACGAAGTGCAGAGGTGCAGTCTAGGTCCGTGTGTGCATCGACGGGGCATCGATGCTACCATCGTCCCACACTTAGAAAATTGGAGAAAATCCTCGCTTGCACAAGTCTCAGACCAAACTTATGAATGTGTAGCATGGACGGTCAGTGGACCAACGATCCGTCGATCGAGGTTTCTTTGATAGGATCTGTAAATTCCAGCACGTTTTAAATTAAGATCATTTAATTAATTAAATGATTTAGGGGTTAGTTGGGGATTAAATACATACTAATTAAGCTGATTAAGTCCTACTGTAAATACCCTCAACCCTCATTAATCAAAATAAAACTCTCAAATCAACCCTCTTCCTTCTCTCTCTTTGTCTTTCTAATTGGAAGACTCTGTAGAATCATAGCTTGGAAGATGAACTGGGGTCTTGAAAAGGGTGGATTCTTCATTAAATTGTTAAGAAACATTAATTTATGGGTTCTATTCACCTTTCAGATCCTTTTATCAAAGGGTTCCTTCAAAATAGATATCAAAAAGTTTAGTTTTCTTATGGGTTTGATTCAACTACGAAATTGAAGTTATGGATTGGTTTTTAATGAATTATTAGGGTTACATTGAGTGGATTGACATGTAATTCAACTTGTTTATTGTAATTGTTGATGGTTTGGACTAAATTGAAGAGTTTGATTCATTATCCCTAACCCTAGGTAGTGATCTTGACCTATATTGTATTATGATCATTTAATTGAGTTGGTTGTTGATTAGATTAATATCCTATGGTTTTATTATGATTAAATTAAAATGATTTATAGGCCTATCATTTTAGTTCTTGAGATGTTATTTAGGGTTATGAATCATAATGTGAAATTAGCCTATGTACCTTGTCTCAAGTTGTGATCTAAATATGAATTGTGTTATAAAGATACAATTGGCCTTGATATCTTATTGGTTATCATTGTGTGATGATGTTACTCCCAAAGTTGGGTTGAGTTATGGGTTGATTGTAAGACCTTGATGATAGACTATGAGGAATACTTTGTAATTCTTAGAATCTCTATCTTTACTTTCAATTGTGATTAATTATTGTTAAGTCATGATATTAAAAAGAAGTATGCCTTATACTAGGATTATAGGGTGGTATGATGTTGAATTGAAATGTATTGACTATGTTGTGAGGTTGATTAAGGTGTATGTGCTATAAGGATAGTGAAAACTATCAAAGAGCCTTAATATGTTATAAAATACTAAAGTGTTAATGTCACTTATATGAATTGTGATGAAAAGGACTTATACTCATACAATTCTTATTGAGTTATTGACGATGATGATTATACAAGGGGTAGACCTTATGGCCTAAATTAAGTTATGATTGATAATTAAAGGTTTAAAGATATTTCAAAAAAAGATTCTAGCTTAGCACCCAGGGAACTAGATAGAGAAGTGTCCTTTACCAAATAGAGAAGGTAAGAACACTACATTACTCTTGAGATTGGAGACTATAATGCATATGACGCATAAATAGGATCCCAACTAAGTCTCCTAGTTCTTGAACTATATTGCCCCCGTAGGAATACTAGCTAGTGGATCCACATAGTTTCTATGTTTCATGTTTTTGTACTACCTTGGCATGTAGTTCGCCTTTTTTCGGTGTAGGGTTTTATGACACCGGATTTAATACTAGTTCATGTGGTCTATGTCGGTTAGGGCAATATGTTCCCAAAAAGGTAAAAAGAATTAAAGGATTTGAACCCTAACTTGGATAACCTAAGGGGTCTAGCTTAGTCTTGGTAGGGGTAGGGGACTCTACCTAGACATTGCACTAGTTAGCCTTCAGGGGAGTCTTAGGAGGAGGTTATTATATATTTATGTTATGATAATTGACCATGGCACATTGTTGATACTATAGGTTGATTATTTCATTTATGAATATGCCTTGGATTATAATGATAATATACGATTTTATGCAAGCCTGAATGCCATGATATGTAAAGTTGGACATTGGTTGTGTTTTCTTGTTAAGGATACTTGATTGTGGAAGGGCTTTGCTTGGTCATTGCACTTGTTGACTTGATAAGGACTTGTGAGTAGTTGTCTTGCTTATTATGATATGTTTGACTCTTATTCATTCTTGTAATATTATTCCTTGATATTAGGGTTGTAGTAAATCATGGTTTCAAGTATGTTGGGATAAGTATTACTTGTTGAGATAGTAAGCATGTTTGGTTGGTTTATATGACTTACTTGACTTTGCATTAGGCCCCTAAAGGGATAGTTGGGCATGTTTTAATAAAAAGTTTCTTTTAGCATGTTTTGCTTGTGTATGTGCATAAGATCTCATACTTAGTACATGTGAAGTACTAACCCCATTTTCTTCCCTTTTTTCCAAACATTTAGGTACCGATCGTTGAGGAGTTTTGAGAAGCCACATTATTGAAGGCTTGGATTCTTCTTTTCATCCAAGTGAGGTAGGTCCTCAACTTTTGAGGGCAATGCCATCTTCTAGCTTTGGACTTTGTTATGAGCTTATTGACTCTATCCTTTCATTCCTTGTTAGTTGAATATTATACTTTCGTATGACCTATACATGGTCTAGTTGAAATGATGTAAAGGTTATGCCCATATTGTGATATTTGTTCAGATGGTATGAGATGAGACAATCATTGAGACTATTTCTATATTTTTATACATGTATGTGCAATAAAAGTAGAAGGCTATGTAACCTTCCTATATGAAGGATCTATGTATACTCGATATGAATATATATTATGTGTATGTAGAGGTCTATGTATACCTCCAAGTAAGGATAATGAAAGTTTTAAATTTTTCGCATTTTTTCAACCTATGAATGTAATGACATGAAACTAAGAGGCTAGTCTTAGTCCTTCAAAATGATGACGACATCGGTTACATCTAGGGGGTAAACCCGGATGTGGCAGTAGGCCGAAAAAGGCTAGAAAATTATTAATAAAATAAGTTCAGGGGGTAATAGGACCTTAGTATAGTATAAGTGTAACTCTGAGATTTTGGGCATAGGTTGAGGGGGTACTTGTGCATTACTCCTATTTCTTAATAATATGTATTACCTCGTAGATTCAATTAATATAAAATTGAGCAAGTATTGTAATATTTTTACTAGTTTGATGGACATTAGATACATTGTTACTGGGAGGCCAGTAAAAGACAAAACACTTTTGCTGTAAAATTATGTGTTTGACAAGTCACTAAAAGTGCTTGTAAATAGCAGCATAAGCAGTTGTTCTATTGTTGAGAAGAAGCTAAAAAATTGTGCTTCTTAAAAATAGTAGAAATAAAAAAATATTTTTCTCAAGACTAAATGCTCTTTGATATATACATATTTATCAATATATCTATTATTAATTAATGGAAAATGCACAAGTACCCCCTCAGCCTATGCCCGAAAGTTCAGAGACACACTTATACTATACTAAGTTTCTATTACCCCCTGAACTTATTTTATAAGTAATTTTATACCCCTTTTCGGCCTACATGGCACTAGCTAAAAAAAAAAGTCAGCCGGCGTTGGGCCCACAAGGTAGTGCCACGTAGGCCAAAAAAGGTAGAAAATTATTAATAAAATAAATTCAGGGGGTAATAGGACCTTAGTATAGTATAAGCGTGTCTCTGAGATTTCGGGCATAGGTTGAGGGGGTACTTGTGCATTATCCCTTAACTAATTAATATATATCTCATAAGTTTGATAAATTTCAATTTAAAATTTCATTTTCTTATTTTTTACATCATAAATTTTATATTTTATTTTACGTTTATATATTATTATGTTATATTTTACATATTATTTTACGTATAATTTTAGAGAATTACAAAAGAAGGTAAAAACAATATTTTATGTTAGGTTAGAAAAATAAAAGAAAAAAAATAACAATTGAAGGCTTCAACCCACCAAAAAGGTATAATGTTTATTGAAAATTTAAATATGTAAAATTTGATTTAATAAAAATAGAAGTTGAATTAATCTTTTATATAGATATCTAAAATAATTTCTGCCTATAAAATAGTCTTAATAGTAAAATTACATTAATAATTAAATTTTTTTCGTAATTTAACTCTCAAAAGCACATTTTATAAAAGAATCAGCCAAATGTAATTTCCTTATAAAAGCACTTTTCAAATGAATTAGTAAAGCACAAATTACGTTTTTTCAAAAGCATTTTTTTGAATATATCATTTTTTAAAAAGTTGCTTCTAAAATGAGTCATTTTTTGACCTTAATGCCAAACAAGCTCTCAGTGTCAATACCGGCGCTTAAATTTTGATGGTGACATCGTCTAGCAAGCTTTGCTGGAGTTAAATTAGACAACACTACTTTTGCCTAAATAGGCTGAGAATATAATTGCCACTGCACATCCTTATTCCTAGACTCGAGCTTCCACTCACTGAACATTTTAAGGCTAGAATGAAAAGAAGAAAAAGATCCAAGCCCTACTTGAAGCAAAATAGTACCTTCATCCCTGCTACAGACCAGCAAAATCAGAGCAAGGAATAGGTCCACTTTACTAGCTTCAGGCAAGTACAATATGTTCAACTTCTTTTGGCACGCATTTCACTGACGACGATACCAAAATAACTTTATCATATCGAGACTTAGACAAATGGAAAGAAACAACCAAATGGTTTTTATCTATTCAGGACTCTCTAAGGTCTTCTTCACCCATTTCATTGCCATTAGGCCACACGTGCATGCCAAAATGCTCTTGCACATGAAACCGCACTGATGGTAACTGACAAGGATTTTTACAATTAAAAAGCAAGAGTATAAAGGATTCTGTTTCAATTAACAGTACAAAAGGTTTAACTAAGACATCTGAATAATTTACAGGCCTATGTTACTATTTTCCAAAGAAAAATGGAAAGAAAGGGGAAAAGGCTAAACAAGCTATCCGACATTTGGAAAGACAATTTTTCTTGATTCCAATTCTTTCACACTTTGAACTATGCCATTAATGTTCTTTGACAGTTGATCTGAGTGATCCTCCATATCTTTCAAAAGCATATCTAGCTGCTCCTGTAAAGCTGCAGATCTTTTACGCTCCTTCTGTAACTCTGCTGTTAATTCCCGGATCTTGACATCTTTATCATCCTGAAATTGGTCAACCGAATATCAAGAACAGTCGAGACATGATACAATCAAACTATATTGTTCCTAAAGAAGATGATCTTGACTAATACTAGGAGCAGAAGGGAACAGGAAATTCAATGATAAAGCAACACTGTAAATCGCAGAAGAATTTCACAACTAACTTCAAGATTGTAACTGCAGTCATGAATTAATTGAGCTTCCGTGACTGCACATATTTTTTGGTTTAATTTACTATTTTTGCTAACTGAATGTATAACAAACGAATGTGTCATTTACATAACCGACAAAACCCCTCTGGCACGACTAGACCATATGCATTCATTACTGAAAAGAAAGCAGTTGCCGCATATAGAAAACCATACATGCAAATGCGCAGACATCAGTAGGAAACCATTCTGGCCTTGTGACTTTCACAGTATTAAATGAACAAGACCGTGTGATCATATGAAATCAAGTCTTTAACCTACCAGCCCAAAAGGGTCAGCAATTTTTCTTCGAAATTCTGTTTTTAAGCACATGAAGTGGGATACTGTTATGTACCAGCATTTTCAAAAAGCTATAGAAAAAATTAAAATCACTGCGAACAAGGACAGAACAAAATACAATATAAGCAAAAGAGCCATGTTGCTGACCGCCACTAGTTGAGATTAAGACTTAGCATTGTCGGTACACTTACATTATACGATCTTTGCCTGCAGTCTTTTTAGTTGGTTTTGAGATATGAATACTAGTGCAACAATGTAAGTTAAAAATACTCAAGCCAAGGGGAAATACCATATTTGAAGAAAATCTTATTGCTCTTTGAAGCAATATAAGGTCACAAAAAATTTACGCTAAGAGCCAGATTTTTCTGATGAACAAAGGTGTCCAACATTAAAGAGCTGGAGAATTCACTCAAATTCAATGTGGGCAAATTACCAGCTTAATTACCAATCATATAGAATACAATATTTTGTAACAGGTGAATGAATAGTGTAAAATGAGACTAGCAAATTAGAAAAGACAATGCTTATCCTTAAGGGAAGGTCGGTTCTAATTAATGGTGTTCTAGATGCACTTCCGACTTATACTATGTGACTCTTTCCCAAAAAGTTAAAACAATTGATGAACTAAGGAGTGATTTTTTTGTGGAAAGGAAACAACAAGAAAAAGTCTCCTAATCTGGTTAAGTAAAAAGCCGTAATGCCAGCTTGGAAGTGAAAACTCTTGAGGGGTCGTCTGGTGATGGATAAAAAAAAATAATCTTGGGATAAGTTTTTAGTACCCCTCAATTCTTTGTTTGGTTACGAAGTGTGGGATAACTTATCCCATGATTAAAAATTACGACTAGGATAAGTTATCCCTACTTGAGGGCGGAATAATACTACTCCCGGGATAAAAATATAAAATAACAAAAGTATCCCTTAAACCCTCTTTGATAAACAAATAACTTAATTATAGAGGGAATTTTTGTACACAAACAACTTAGTCTTAGAAATTATGCCATGCTTATTTGACAAACCAAACAATAACAAAAAATAATCTCAACATAACTAATCCCAGCATAACTTATCCCAAACATAATTTATCCCATCATAACTAATCCAAACATAACTTGTCTTGAAACCAACGACCCCTAAAGGTACTAAACAAAAGTCTTCTAATGAAGTCGTTCTGAAGATTTTACGATGAAGATTAAGGAGGAGGCGCTTTATAGGCAAATGGTTAGAAAGAAGTATAAGATGGAAAAATCTTGGATCATGGTAACACACAAGCTCTCGTATAGAGTTGAAAATTGGAAATATTTTAGATTCTTATGGAATATATTCGCATAATACATAATCAAAGTAAAGGATGGTAGGAGAAATTTATTTTGGAAAGAAAGAGGTTAGTGCATACAATTGATCATGATAAAGACTTCAAATCATTTAAACAATCTAGTAGATTAGCTAATCTAGATGATTGTGTATTGCTAGAATAGGAATGAATAGGAATAGTATATAGTATATACTTCCTCTGTCCCAATTTACGTGACTTACTTTTCTTTTTTAGTCAGTCCAAAAAGAATGACACACTTCTATATTAAGTAACAATTTAACTATAAAATATCTATTTTACCCTTAACGAAATGATTTATAGTAACACAATTTCTATCATTCATTTTCGACCACAAGTTTAAAAGTCTTCCTTACTTACTTAAAGATCGTACCGAGTCAAACTACCTCCATAAATTGGGACAGGGAGTATTTTTTTGACAAAAAAGTTCATAAAATTAAAATATCCTACTTAGAATAGTAGTAGTATATAGAGTTCTTTGTGTAATAATGTAGATACACAATCAATAATATTATTCTTCAATATTTCTCACATGTTATCAGAGTGATTATGAGAATTATTGTCAAGTATCATTCCAGCGAAATTAGCCTTTACTTCATATTTATCCCCATTTCTTTTCTCAATTTTGTATGAGAATTCTAATTTTACAATATGTTGTTCGCAATTGATATCTTTGGCTCCAAAAATATAAGAGATTCAAGCCCTATGATCACTTCAGAACCAACAATGGGAAGCTCAAACCATTTAGCTTGAGCTTCCCTGGTTGAGTTGCAGTGCAAGCGTTAAGGAGTCCAAGACCACTTAACAAGAAATGCTTGTGTGGTAGATGAAAAGGCAAAGGCTAGTGAGCAAGATGCAACGGCCAAAGCACATGGGAGAAGTTTGATGCTCAATAATGTAGTCTCATATGGCGATCTATTGATTCAAAGTTGATGCCCTTATTTAGCCCATCCTAGACATGTTATTCAGTCTCGAAGAGCCTTGTGCTTGATACACTAATGACATATCTCAATTCTATGATGTGATTTCTTGAATGACCAACTTAAAGACTCAAGAATCAAATGTCTACTTACTTAGGACACGGCAGTCATGGACGAATTTGAAACTTTGATACCAATCACTATGAACGTTGGAAAACAACAAGAGCAAAGGCAGATGTTGTTTCTAGTTCTTAGACTTGTTGCACTTCCTACTGAACATGATTCAATGCGCGATCAAATTTTAGTCAATCTTGCAATTCCTACAATTGATGAACTATACTCGCGTCTACTTCTCATGTCGCGTCTCTTAGTAACAAAGAAGTTCCATCGCCCACCATTGACTCATCTATTCTCGCATCTCAAACTACAGAAAAACAAATACATCAATCAATGGAGAATCCAAGAGGAGGAAGTCGTTTTGGAAAACCTCAATCTAAGTTATAAGCTTGGACACACTCATGATATATGTTATATTTTGCATGGTCCACCACCCAATTTTGATCCTATTGCTCTAAAGAAATATAATGAGCTCATAGACATCTCCACAAGCAGCATCAGTTGCTCAACTTGATTGACCATCCAATAATGCTAATATTGCTCATACAGAATATGATGAGTTCCATCAGTATCAAGCAAGTAAGCAAACTTCTCCACAAGTAGCCTCGGTTGTTCAACCTAATGTTTCTAATGCAGAAAATTCTTTTACTTGTGTTTCTTAGTCTAGTACTTGCAGATCATGGGTCATCTAAGCTCCTCTGATCATATTTGTGATAACAGAACAATTTTGTCTGATATTATGTATTCACAATCTCTTCCTGCTATTACTTTAGTCAATAGGGTCCAAACAAAACCAAAAAGGGTTGGAAAAGCTAATCTTCAGTCACCATAGATTTTTTTATCATTATGTCATTGGTTCTACTTATAACCAGGCATCTTTTAGTCATTTGACGCATGCCTTACATTGTGGCATAACATTTATCGATGACTTTTTTCTCATGTTGGACCACAGTACGAGACAAATGATTGGCACAGGACATGAATCACAAGGCTTTTCTTGTAGTACCGAGGACCGTTCAAAGTCTTTTTTTATTAGTTCATACTGATATTTGGGGTCCTAGTAGAATCAATTCACCCTTAGAATTTCATCACTTTCATTAATGATTATTCAAGATGCACTTGAGTTTTGTTAATGAAAGATCGTTCTAAGTAATTTTCTATATTCAAAAGTTTCTTTGTTAAAATTCAAAATAAGTTTGGTATTTCTGTTCATACTTTTACTAATGATAATACCTTAGAATACTTATCCTCTCAATTTCAGAAGGTTATGACTTGCCAAGGAATTATTCACTAGACATCTTCTCCATAAACCTCTTAGAGAACGTTGTAGCATAAAGGAAGAATATGCATCTCCTTGAAACTGCTTGCACTCTACTCATTGAATCCCATGTTACACAGCATTTTTGGAGAGATGCAATCCGTGCATCTTGTTATTTAACTAATAGAATGTCCTCATATTCTATTCAAAATTAGGTTCCACATTCCATATATTCCTTTGTCACGTCTTTACTTGGGAGAACATGTTTTGTGCCTAACTTCGGTCCTATAAAAGATAAATTAGTCACTCTTGCTCTCAAATTGTCTTTGTTGGTTATGCTCTGGTTCATAAAGGGTATCATTGTTACTCATCTAATCTCCATCGATAGCACATGCTTGTTGATAGTACATTCTTTGAATCTCAAACTTGTGCCTCATGTCTTACATGTACCAATTTTGGATAAAATCTATGATTACTTCTACATCTCTAATTATCTCTAATTGTACTGCCACTAGGATTGACTTTATCATCATCATTCATATCCAGCACAGGCCCAAATGATTCAGGTAATGTGTCGAACCTTGATCGTACTGCGCATTAGCCTCCTCCTAGACAATTGATTGCACTTCAAAAACGTATACAATCCACTCAAAATGCTAGCCACATTATACTTTCTTGAATTATCATCGTCTCTTGTCACGCATTATGCTTTTGTATCAACGTTGTTCTTTATTTCCACTCCTAAGACTACACGTGAAGTTGTAACACCCTATGTTGTGCAGACTCTTCCTATTTGCAGGTTAACCCGTCTCGATGTGACACTGGTGCGGGTGAGAGTGTGGGGTGCATGTCGAATTCGGTAAATCTGATCCAGACACTTTGATTGAGGC